TCGTCACCCTATATAATATAAATAATAATAATTATTATTATTATTACAGTAAAACCCCCATTAAAATATAATTTTAATTCCCGTTATTATATCGCCAATAGATTTAATGAGAATGAAGAACCAACTGACGGTGTAGTAACAACAACCGTAGTTCAAACTTCTGGTAAAGACTGCAGCGAGTGGAAGAAGTCCGATGTAGATGGTATATGAAAATTATTAAATTAACCGATTAACTGATAATCTTTTTCCTAATTTTAAATATATTTATATTTTTTTTATAATAGTTTAACTGATGTTTGATGAATGTTTGTATAGGCCTATGTTCTTTATGTAATTTTGTTTATTTCAAGTTTATATATTATTCTGGTGCAATTGTTAGTATAATGCTATATAACTTAGTTTTGGATATAATTTTTATTATTTATGTGGTTCAGTGGCTGAGCTAACAAATCAGATAAAAGATGACGCCATAGCAGAAAATATCGCAAAGAAGTTGAAACAGCCAGAAAGCCAACGAAGTACATCGCCAACTTCTACATCATCTTTAATGGTAAATATTTTATTTGTTTATTGGATTTTATGATCAAATTTACTATAATTACTTTTATAATTAGGCCTATTCATTCTTTTTATTTTGTATACGGTACTGTTGTGCTTTTCTTGAAATTTTTTTAATTAAATATCGTCATTTTCTAATATTTCTATAAATTGTGATTACATACAGTACGATAACACATCAGGTAGAACAAAACATCACTCCGATTACATATAAGTAATGATCATATTAATATACTACAAACCACCACTCTGTAGATTGTTTTTTTTAAATATTATTCTGAAAATACAGATAAATGTAATTAGTATTGTTTTATTATTTGATTTCAGGTAAAAGTGAAGGAAGGAACAAGTGTAATGACGTTGAATGAAAGAGGTATTTATTAAGGTTTTGGCAAACAATGATAATTACATCACTTACGTCATCGTCACCGTACTCATAATAATAGTAACTTTAATTTTCTTTTGTCTGCAAAACAATTTGAAAGAACTGAGTTCTCTTAAGTTTGGTCGTATGAAGCTCTACTAAAAATAGTCAAACAGACGCCATCAAAATCAGGTTTATGAGCATATCTTGACTTCTAAAAGAATTTTCTTTTTTTGAAAAATACCCATTTCTGTGTTCGTTATGTATTATGTTGATTAATAAAAAAAATCATATAATTATGTTTTCAGGGTACTGTATAGGATTTCAAATATACAATTTGCAGATTGGCATCATGGAGCCAATATTGGATGAGTGGCGTATCTAGGGGTGCGAATGGGGGGAGGGGCGCTCGCACTTCCAAAAATTACTCGCGCAACCCAATCGCCCAATCTCCCCCCCCCCCAAAAAAATCACGGTCAAGTAGCGAATTAGCGCCCCTCAATTGACTATCAACCTCACCCCCACACTTTTCACCGCCATCAGCACCCCATTTCAAAAATTCTAGATATGCCACTGATTTTAGACTGCCACCATGAAAATTAGTTGCTTTCAGGAACATCGTCATTATTATCATAATCATCATCATTACCATCGGCGTCATCATTGTTACCATACTCATCATCAATGATCTTCATAATCACCAATCACTATCACTCTCATTTTCGTATCCTTATCATTTTCATATCAGTTATTCATGTTCATTGTATTTGTCATCGTTATGTTTTTGATTGTTAACATCATAGACTCCTTATTTTTTCCATTTTATAACCATTAGCATCATTAGCATCATCATTACGACATCATCAAGAAATTGTCATCATTATCATCTCCATTATCATTTTCGTCATCATCATAATTCAAAATAATTAATCATCATAACTTCAGACTACCATAATCTTTGTGTTTTCACTCTCGCTAGTTATACTTTTATTTCTTAATTTTTCAGAAAATTCTCAGGAACCTGAGGGTGCTGGAGGTTTATCAACGAATCAGTCCACGGGAAGCCATGATACATTTGAAAAGAAACTACCAGACAGACTTCATAAACTGTTGGTTAATATACTTGCTAACGAGGGACCTAGCAACGTCGATGGACCAAGCGAAGTAACATCCATATGGGACTACGCCGGGCAGTTAAAGTACTATATAACCCATCGGGTAGGTTATGCTGAATTCTGAAATCTATAAATTCTATTAAATACTAAAATTTACAATCTTCACGTATTTTCTTGTAAATTTGATTGGGACTAATAGGTTCTGTACGTGTAAGACAGTTACACCTGTATACAAAAGAATACGCAATTTGGCAGCCCAAAAGATTCCTATGGTCATTTACCTAAAGTAAGGTAAGTTTACGGTGGAATGCGTGTCATACACATCATGGATTAGATTGGATTTATTTTTGGTGTAGAGGCCAAAGAATACCCACGAAAGTCCGAAGAAGACTTTTTTTTCCAGTCCGTCCATCTTGTAGAAAATTCGGCAGGACACCGTGAGACAACCCTCTGTTGTCCAAAGAGTGTACCACCCTCTGCGTACTTTAACATCACATGGGCCATATTGCACACGAGACCAATGTCCGAAAGACCTTGATCAGTAGTCAGGATATTAATAATAACAACAACAGGCGTATTGCTAATAATGATATTATTATGATTATTATTATTATGATTATTATTATTATTATTATTATTATTATCATCATCATCATCATCATTATTATTATTTATTTATTATAGCGAATTTCAAGTTCACTTATAGATAATTTTTTGTTTAAATGTGTATCTTCGTAATCATAAATTCATAAATATTCCTTTGTAGATTTACCTGACAGGTGGAGCGTCATACGGCGTAGTCTTCAGTTTGCTAGATGATTTGAATGATTTTGTGAAATCAAGAGATTTACATAAAGTAAGTAAATCAGTTAAATCTTCCTTACAATTCTTGCATTGCATGGTTATAGTGTAATTCATTAAGTTTTGTAAACTTTTGTAGGCCCATGCTTATATTATAAATTCATTTTATTTATCTCAAATGTCTTTCGTAAATAGGACTATTTTTTCTTTAATGTTTAGGGGAAATTTTCAATGACTAATTTAGAGATGATTCTCTTCTGGATGCGTTCAATATTTGAACATGCTGTTCTACCGAATATTGAAAACAAGACAATTTGCTTCAACGATACGGAAATATCCTCTCCCCCAATCAGTTTGATTGCAACTCACAAAGACCAGTTGTCGAAGAGTGAGGCAGAAACACGTGTAAGACTTTCTTTGTATGTTTTATTATAGTGTTTCTTTTATTATTAAAATCTGTAATTTCATAATCAGTACCGTATATTATTTTTTTACTTTCGCTTTTTTTTGTCTTGTTTAATTTGTTTAGGTTTGAAAAACTGCTTGAATGAAATCGAAACAGTTTTTTAAAATGATAATTTAACGTGATTGTTTTTTTTACTTAATAGGCCTGTTTATTGTGATTACCTTACTCGCGTATAAGGCGACCGCGTATAATACAAGAAGGTTTATGGACAATTTGCTCTTTATGATCTTGATACTGCATCTAGCCTGCTAAAAACGTAACCAAATATGGGCTAACCTTCAAAATAATACCATTTTATGGGCTTTATATTAATCAAAATCTTATTTCCCAGTATTCAAAATTCCGTTCATTCATACTAACATTTAGTAGGTTCATTGCAGTATTAAATTGGAATGTTACGAAAGATCCGCACATAATTAAGACGCATGGTTGCAAAAGTCTAATATTGTTATGTCGACGACCCTCTGTATTTCGATCGTAATTTGCCAACTTAATCATCGGCTTATACGCAAAAATATACGGTACTGTAATTTCTTTAAAATATTATTGTTGCTAAAGAAAAAATTTTAAGATTAAAAAAAAAAATTATTACAATCATAAATATTATCTATCTATCAATATATATTTTATCAAATTTGTTTAAAGATCAAAACCATGTACCAAACAATATTTGATGCCATCAAAGGAACAGCGTACGAAACACACGTTGACCGGACGATGTACGCCGTTGATAACACTGCAAAGATTGATGAAGGGATTGAGAAATTGAAGACGAACGTCGGGGGTTACATGAAGGCAATGGCAAGAACTGTGCCCACTAACTGGGTTGATTTCCAGTCTAAAGTCCAAGAACTTGGCAAAAGAAAACTGCGGGTGTCTTTAGAGGAGGTTGGTGCTTCCTTAATTCCTTTTAATTTGTTATGAAAATAAATACGGTATACACTGCCAACATTTACTTGTAAATCGAATGCTCATTTATATAATGCAATCGGTCAATTAATCAAATACAATGTTCATATCAGTGGTGCAATGTCGTTAGCATTAAATACCAAATCAATTTGATCTTGACGAATTTGACCAAATTTACTTTTGAATTTACACTAGTTTCATTCATCCAATCATTATTCAATCAAACATACATTTTTACAAAAGCAATGAAAATTGAACAAGCAACAATTTTTACAATATTAATAAGTTGGCTAGGATTGATAATAGTGATGAACACTCTAGCTCAAAAGCCTACGAGCTCAGTCTTAGGAAATACAATAGATGGTATACACATAAAATTTTAATAAATTGGTTAAAAAGAAAAACAAATTAAGAAATCAAAACTACTAAAAATACCAAAACAAAAGACAAATCAGGAAAGAATAATAAAGTAAGAAACAGGAAATTTTGGCGCTATATTTGTAAGCTTCTATGCCGATAATTATTTTTATCTCATTTTTTACTGTTACTTTTCTCATTGTTGGTTGAAAAATTTATTACACAAAAATTTTTATAGATCACCACTGTTGCCATCGAGTGTGGAATTGCAGAAGACAAGCTCACCACTGTTCTCGATTACCTAAATGACACTGGAACAATTCTGTACTCTAAAACTAACGAAAAATTAAAGAACACTGTGATAACAAACTTGCATATGATGATCGACTTCTTGACCAAAATCATAACAGTGGTAAAACCAAATGATATTGATATAGTACGTATCCATATGACATTCTCTTTAGGTAAAATTATTTTTCTATCGTCGTTTGGTTTACCGTATATACTCGCGTATAAGGCGACTCGGGTTTCAAAAGATTTTTGGACGATTTTTGTAATTTCGGGCGTATAAGACGATCCCCTATTTAATCGTCGCAATTCCTACTTTTTTTTTCTGACTTTTATGGTCTTGATACTGCATCTGGCTGGCTAAAATACAAGGCTAATTTTCCGAATAATAACATTTTATGAATTTTTAATTGGTCATCAAAATCTTATTTAACCGTATAATATTGCGTTCATCCACACTAACATTTAGTAGCTTCATAAGCAGTAATTCTCGTGTTACGGACGATCCGCACATAAGACGAACACGATTTAAAAAAAATCTAAAATGTGTATGCCGTGCTTGTAAGACCACTTCCTGTTTTTCGATCGTAATTTACAATTAAAAGCCTCGCCTTATACGCGAGTATTATACGGTAATATTTTTATAGGTACACCCAAAGTGATATGCCTATTTATTCTTCAACTGTCTTTGATTGTAATATGTTTTATGCAATATAATATAACTGGAAATCATGTGAATTTGATGTGTTTGTTTATGTGTGTAGTGGCCTACAATGATGCCGATGTGGAATAAGCTTGATAACGAGGGAGTTCTAGAAGAAGAATTACTGCGACATTTGTGGAGACTTGAGATTGAGAAAGACGCTGGCAACTTTGAAGTCTTCATAGAACTGATGAAGATGTTCGGATTACTTTTTGAGAAGCAAATGGTAAGCTAAATCTTGCTATGGTTTACAGGGGCGGATCCACACATTTTCTGAAGGGAGTGGGACACAATAGGGAGTCCACGCCCCCCTCAGCCCAACTATTGTGAGGGTTGGGATAAGGAAATTGTAAGAATAGCTATCTTTAGACGTTCGAAAATCTCCCATGGTAAAAATGATTTTGCAAAGCCTTTCCATAGACATGCTTCCCTCACCCTTCCCGTCATATTTGTCGCGAAGGTCTAATCGAGGAACTGAAGTCTAGTTTATGCTGGAAGTCGCAATGTTTTAAACTTGGAACCCACAGTTGGAGAGGTGGATTTGTGAGAGGCTTTTCCTATTGCCCGGATCAACAAGTTGGTTCATATGCATTGTATTATTAAAGGTTTAGACCTAATAAGAGAACAAATATGGTATAAGCACTATTTAAAAAAAAAGCCATTCAAGATTTCAAAGATAGCTACTGTTCTGTCTGGGCCTAGTATAACACAACACCCGTCTCCTTTCGCCAACTGCTGGATCCGCCACTGTTCATGTGTACACTTTCTTGTCCATCTCTATCCTCCATTAAATTCTTCCCAATTTTGTTCTCCCTCTTTTTTTATTTTTCGGTGGGATTGACCACCTCCCCCACTATATCAATTCCTGGTTTAATATAGGCATGTGAGTATTGAAAAAAAACACTTCAAATCTATCAGCATTTTTACCAACCTATGCAATCTATGCAATGAACCTTAAGCCCCGCTTCTTGGATATTGTTGCTAAGTAACACAAAACGGCTGTGTAAAAATTACACGCAAACACGTGCGATTGTCGGACACGTGTCCGGGCCCTGTTTTTAAGTTGTTAAGTTAATTTGACCTTAAAGGTCCTATTAGGCATAACGTATGTTGAAACACTATGGGTATAATTCATTGACATATAAATTAGTATAGTTTGCTATGTCAGAAATTTGGCTCCAGCTAAATTTTTGTGTCAAAATGGATTTTATTGGCTAACTTTATTATTTTTGGTGTGCTGAATTAAAACATGTTTGGTACCATTTTTTTTTATCCACGTCATCGGGCGCAATTTTGAATTTAAAGATGGCCAACGCACCACTGTACTAAATCTATGTAACTCTGTTTTATGTTTATATAACCGAATAATGTATGTAAAGGGTGCTAAACAAGGTTACCGAACGTTCATCGTCCCCTCCCGATTGCAAGTCAAACAAGAGAGTTTGGAAGTTAAGAAAGACGAAAAGCAGACGATATCGATTTACGTGACTCCCACTGACTTCCTCCCTGATAGTATCTACAATACGTTAGTCGTTGCATTTCTGGACTTGATGGCAGTCAAAGGAAGACACTTTGGTCATGTGAAATTGTTTCAGAATTGTAGTGAATTTGACGTAGATGATAATCACTTGGTGAATCTGGGCGCTGTCAAAATTGGGAACAGACACGCACTGAAGGTGAGGTAGAGACAGACAACCGATTAAAGTCTATATTGTACATCAAAATCCATAACAATATAGGCCTATGTTTAAACATAAGTTTTGTAAATTGCGTAATTTGCGGCGTTCTACTGTGGCCACGACCAAAATTAACATTCACAAAGCGAAAAGATTACACACATACACGTTGTGAATTTCCATTATCCATCCCTATTTATTATTATGTAGCTTATATCGCCACAATTGTAAAAACATCCATCGAACTTGTATTATACTACTTCATTAAAAGTATGTTATCAACTTGATTTGTATTTACTTTGAGTAGCTATCATGTGAATATAAAATTGAATGATATGTTACGCATACATATACAAAACAACAACCTTATTAGATTGTATTGAATTTATGCTCGTAAACAGCTTGAAGTATCTCACAGGATTAAAGTTGATGAACATGACGAAGAAGAGGCTCTTGAACCACATTCAAGCATTTGCATGGAGGTAATAATTCAATAAGTCTACATTATCTTGTAAATTTAGGCATTATCTTGTATATTGAGGTGAACTGGTACATTTTATGAAAATTATAAGGTGAAAATGGTATTTCGTCATTGATGAATCGCATGAGATATTGCAATCATGTTTGCATACAGATAAATTCCCTTTCAAACAATAATGAATTAGCTTCGAGAAAAGATTATAATTCAGCTACACATTGTCTTTTTGATAAATACTGTTGTTGGTACTTTAATTAGCAATTAATCGTTTTTACTTGTAACAAGTTTTTGAAATTGTGGCATCGATCATGACGTTGCTTATTATTTGTTTTGTATATAAGATTATAACAATTATACTTAACTTTTACTTTCGTGTTTATTAGGTATTAAATTACCTCAGACAGCAACTGAAAACCGTCTACGGTACTATAGAAGGTGTAGGATATGAGTTACGTGTCCTCTGCAATGTATGTGATCCGACGCTACGACCTCTGCATAAACTTGATGAACGTTTGAAGAATAGTAGTTTGGTATGCGGAAGAAAATTAGTGGCAACAACCCGTTTCAAAAGACTTTTTTCAACAGGTAGGCTTTACGATCATCCAATCAAATTCAAACTTTTAATTAAAGCTTCGGTGGCCAAATTGTTACGGCAGCTGCACAGACAGCAAAAGATCTTGGGCTTGCATTCTGGTTGAGGAGATTTATTCTCACTGGTGTAGCATTAATATATAAAGTATGTCTTCAGAAAACCCGTTTTTTTAAATGAAGAGAACACATTGATATCTGTTTCGTGTGTGCGCCAAATACTACCGTACTGTTGTATCGGCAATCTGTATTGTGTAATAATATATATAAAGTATATTCGGGCTAGTATGTCTGATACGATTATAATATCTTGTTCTTATTTGAGCATTGTTGTTATTATTCTATGTGATATATCACACTCACATACTAAAAACACACACACACACACGCACACACATACACACACATATGTATGTATGTATATGTATGTATATATAGGCCTATGTATCATATAATTTTACATTTCTTCACCTAATTTCATTGAATATAATTAAAATATAATTTGATGTTCTGATTTTATAGGTTTTGATGCCAAATCTGCAGAAGAAATCATACATTTTCTGGCTCTTCAAACATTGATTGTTGGACGTGGAAGTAAAGAACTAAGAGAGTACTTCCTAGCGGAAACTAAACTTAGCAAGCATGAAGTTAGAACGTTCTTGAAAAGTGAGAGAGAATGCGGATGCTTGAGGGACGTTGATTTTGGAGACCAAACGGAGAATATATTTTCATCAGCCGACAAGTTTGAGGCATTCGATATGAAAATAATGCTGAAATTAATTCGATACTGTTGTAACAGTAAATACGAGGAAGATTTCTGGAAACATCCTCCTGCTGATGATAATACTAAGCTGGCAAATCTCGTGCGGATCTATCACTATAAGAACACGGTTCTAGATAGCAGGTACAGCAACAGAGTCACAAAGGAGGAGTTTGAGAAACTATGGAACGATCTCACGAAGTTGTTTGAAGGTGCTGGTGTTCCCATTGAAGAGATAGAAAAATACCGCAATCCACGACAATACAAAGAAGGAGTTATCGTAGGTATGTCAATTGCCAATAGTGCTATTTTTAAGTAGTTAAAACTCAAATGAAAATTATATGGATTTAGCAAAGGCTCTCTCAAATAACGCTTCACAAAGAACGTTATTTAAAATGAAACGGCACCCCCTAAAAAAAATGAATAAATAAATAAATAAATAAAAAATGACTACTGGTCCCAATCATCAATTTTATACTAGTAGGATTAAATTGTTTCTAATCTGTAATTTATTAGTAGTCTTGTTCATACAATATCAGTTTAACAATGATGTTGTGTTGTTCTCTACAACTTCAGTGAAATAAAGTAGCGTTTATTTGAGTAATCATAATAAATTTCATTAGGAAAACGTGTAGGTCTCCCTCAAATAACGCCTCCTGAAAAATCCCGCCGAACATTAAACAACAGCCATGGTTTTTATTCCAATAAATATGGTAATAATATTTTCACCTGACGTCGACTTCTGTAAGTGCGTGTTATTAAGTGATGTAATACTTTATTCTATATAAATATTGCTCTGTTTTGTTTATCAGGCTGAAAGCAACTAATTAAAAAAAAACCACTTTTTTGTAACTCCGTAATTGTATGGTTCTTATCCAAACTTGTAGAACTCAATGTATCTTGTATACTGAGTGCTAAACCGCGTTTCTACAGGGCATATCCACATTCAATTAATTATTAAGATATATTATAATATATTACATATTATCTTAGAATAATATATGTAATGCTCAAAATATCAAGACGTTAATGATTTTTTGGTTTTATTCACTTGGTATAGGTTTTAACCAGACGGAATTTGAAGAAATCAGGAATTTTCAAGCACTGTTTTCAGTTATTGTTGATCTCGGTGCTGTTACCATGAGAAAGTATATACTGGATGTAAATAAAATAAAAAGAAAGACGTTGGAATGTATTTAATGAATAAAAAAGGTAGCTTTCAGAAAGGAAAATTGTTTTCGGAACAGCAGAAAAAAATGTTCACACCCCAAGCAGACATCGATCAATTTGATATAACAATTTTGATGTCAATTATCCGCAACTGCTGCACCATTCCGGCCACGTTTTGGACACATCCAAACGTACTGACCAATCTCATCCTCATCCATCAGTATAGAAACAGCATAGTGGCACACACTCCAAACAGTAGAATGTCAACTAAACGCTTTGAAGTCGAATGGAAGAAAGTGGAATCCATGCTGCACGCTGCGGGTGCTGATAAAATTGAAATAGACAAATATAATGCCCTTCGATTTACGACATAGATGACAACAAGTATTGCATTCTCAGTGGCGCTTTCGTAGTCGGGCAGTTAGTGTTACCCATAATCATTCCAAAACAATCAATCCTAAACAAATCTTCAAATATCAGATACAGTACTCATTTATATCCGCATTCTTGGTGGAGAAGGACAAAAATGGATTGAGTATAAAAAGAAACGAGCAATGTTATCGGCAGCTATCGCAAAATACCTTTTAGTTTTAAGCTCGAAAATTACTGTCACTGTCTATGCACGCGTCTACTGAGTTAGATTCAGATCTACAGATGAAACTTGTAACTATTTTTTCCAATTATCAACTGCAGAATCCCGAAGATTTTTTTAGACACGGGAAGACAATTCACAAATAAATACCAATGTTGTATTTTTTTTTTACATTTTACATTTACGTCCCAGAATCAGATTCTTTTTTACAATAAATAGGCCTACCCCTATTTATATGTTTTACATTAAATTTCGTCCCAAGATGTTTAAGTATATTGCTAATAGAAATTTTAATTTTTTGCAATTGATGTTTTTATTTGGGTAAGTCAGTTTACAAACATTAGTTAAGAAAAAATTAATGAAAATTTATTCATTCTTGGTGTTAATATAAAAATAGTCTTTGTTATTATTATGATTATTATTATTATTATTATTGTTATTATTAATATTTTTTTATTATCAAATATGACAATATAAAATACAAAAGCCAGCCAAATGACACAAAGACATTAGGTCTGCAATACAGTTAAAACTTTGAAATCAAATGGTGGAGTGGAGTAGAATAGTTTGGTGGTTAAGATGCTTGCCTTAAAAACCCAAGGTCGTAGGTTCAATTCCTGGCAAACAGCTCCACTTCCTAAACCTCATATTGAGATTTAGTTCGTGTAAAGCATCGCGTGTGTATGTTTGTCTTGTGTAAGGAATTGTCACTCACAAAGTAGGACAGTGATACATTCGCTATTGACAATCCCTAGTGCATGTGTTGTGTTCCTAATTAGATAAATAATTACTAAATGCATTATTATAAATGCAGAATTGTTTTCAAACTTTGTGGGGGGGGGGACACAACAGTTTTAGAATAGGTAAATGAGTAGCACATAACATTAATTTGCATTGTAAATTTTAAAATGTTATTTATTTATTTTCTTTATTGAGTTCTAGATAATTTTTATTCCTTTATTATTATTATTATTATTATTATTATTATTATTATTATTATTATTATTATTATTATTATTATTATTATTATTATTATTTAAACTACAGTACTTAAACTAAGAGCAGTTCCGAAATGCATGTGCGCTATGTATGAGTATCCAGAACAGAGCTCCACCCAATGTTGAAACAACGTTGCTGTCACACCCGGGTGCACGAAGACACTCTGGCCCTGTCACACCTTGACAATTTAGCCAGCGTATGGTGACGTATCAACATTCCTCTACGCTGGCATACGCTGAACTTTCGATGTTTTCTTTTTTTTTTTCTTTTTGGCGTATACATAGCGTATTTATAACGAGTTGGACGTATACATAACGTATTAAAAGGCAATTTTCGCCGCACGACGGTAACCTTAGCGTTAACGGATGACGTCATAATTTATTTACAGTATATTGCGTTGCGCAGTACGTTAATCTCAGAATTTTTACGTGCTCGACGTACGTTAGTTACGGGTTTGAGCATGCGTATTTCGATTTGTTTACAAAAGTGGTGCAGCTATCGCGCTGCATGTTGGGTACTAACGCTAAAGTTAAGGTTAACGTCGTGCATCGAAAACTACCTAGTAACTTATATAGAACTTTTTGATAACTTATAGATAACTTATACCAACGAATGCTTAGCGTGTTGCCGGCGTCAGTACGGCTTACTCGCGGCAGCGTACCGGGACGAGTGACGTGACGTATTATGACCAGGGAACAGTGAAATTAAAGTGTAATTTCACTGTTCCCTGGTATGACATATGACGTATAACGTAAGATATTCTGTCTTATCTGAGCCTACATTCGAAGAAAATTATTACATTTGTGGGCGAAGAGTTTGTTACATTTGTAGGCGCTGTGTTGTTACATTTTGTCGTTGTTATTACATTTGTTGGCGTTTTTACATTTGTGGGTTCAACAGACCTCTCCTCCTACATCGGTGGAGAAAGAGCACAGTGGCGTAACGCCTATGCGCTTTCGTGCGGTGGTCCGCAAGGCCCTCGGCAAATAGGAGCCCTTTAGGGGCCCTTCCATAACAACATAACGTACGTGTCTCTCTGACATATTGGTTATAGGCGATATATATATCAAGTGGCCCCTAAATTTGTCCAATTTGTGTTTTAAATGGAGATAGAAAGAACATAATATTCAAATTTAAATCTGTGAGTGCCATTTCCGGCTATCTAGAGGCGCCATAACATAATCATAAATTTTCTTAAATAGACCCTCCATTCGTGAAAGTCTCTTCCTGGCCCCTACCCGGCCTCTATTTGAAATTCCTGGATCCACCAATGATATCGTATCATTTATTTCGTCGTTTAAACATCAAATGACAAACATGCGCAATAAAATTGGTGTCGGGGGTCATCAATCTCAGAAAGCCACAGGGCCCCATCGTTACGCCACTGAGCAAGAGCTTGATAAAGTTTGTAGGAGTGAGTAAGAGAGGAGAAAAAATGTATATTTAGGCAAGGGAACAACCAATAATCAAAGCCTAATAGAGGAAGGTTTTTGAACCGACCTTAAAATTTAATCTCAGACAGAAAATGTTTTTCGTGTATTTAGTAGATATCCGTACTATTAAAATGAAATACATCCCATCATGCTGGAACACGATGGCGTGCCATCTTTTTGAGTATATATTATTCTTTCGTAAATTCAATTTAAATTGGAGGCAATACTAGCGATCAAAAATGTTAACAATGATGTGACAACTACAGTAAGTGAAGTCATTTTAAATGTTCTTGACATTGTTTACTTAATTGATACATTTATTATTTTAGGTTTATTTATTGACATTCTTATTCAAATGCTGAATTTCAGGTAGAAGAATGCATTTACAACTAGCAGAATCTACAGCAGGAAAATCTATAAGAGGAAAAACAAATCTGTGACATACATAACATTTTATTCTTATTCAATTTTTATATAACAATGACAAGCTTGTCATGTGAAATCGGTAAAACAGTTGACACAGACTAAAATAAATGCTACAAAGTCTAAGCCTATACCTTTCCATATGTATGGTTATAATTATTATACTTATATTGTTGTTGATGATGATGATGCTTATGATGGTGAAGATGGTGAACAATCATAACAAGCCTAGGGCTTGTTGCCATCCGGTCTTTTTGCACAAATCCTGACGTCACTTGTCGAATTTTTCCGGGCCTGTTGCCACCAAGATTTTGTAACCTGATCCGATGTCCCTGACTCGTGCTACCCATGTATGTACATTGGCTTTCTCACCAACCATGCATTTACTTTTTCGATTGGTTGACTGGTTGATCATATATTTAATTATAAAAGTAGGCAAAGTTAATTCCATAATAGCTACCTGATTTAGAATATAGAATATTATAAGAAAACATTTTTTTTATTAATTATTTTATTGGCTGTTGATGTTAACCTTTGGCCCAAGGCCTACGTTTATTTTGAATAAATTCTCCGATTAGGGATAAAAGAAGAAGAAAAAAATACACCACCCAATCGAAGGCACTTATAACAGCTTGAAAACTTAGGTAATTCAATTTTTACGATGGTGTAATGAGAAGAACATTTAACTCAGATTCTATTATTCAATGTGGCAATTCAATGAAATAAATTAAAAATTCGCTAAAATGAAATAATAGTCTGAAATGTTTATAGGTTAATTATTTTGTATGTGGTCGGTTTTTGAAAAAGTATCAGACGATAAGTTCGTTAGCTTAGTATATTTTGTATTTATTTACTAAAACATGTATTATTAAATTTAAGCAAAAAGTTATAAAACATGTTTTTAGTAAATTGTGGGTAACAAAATTAATATAATGTGTCATCATACACATCATTTGATAGATCATTACCAAGTATATTCAGATTAATCTTTCAGTGACGTAATAGCTTAAAAATACAATTTTTGTGTAAAAACGTAAAATTTTTCTTTCTTTTTTGGTCAATTTTGGTACTTAAATTCAAAATTCAGAGGGGCAACAGCCCATCCCGTGTGAGCCAAGAGTTGGTGATGAGCATTCACTTTGTTGCCAGCTTATAACAAACGATGCCTACGAAAAAAAAACATTTGAGCACTTTCAATCTAAGAGGCACCCGTCTATGAAGTTGGGCACTCACCGCACATGACTGCCGTCGGCTGACGTGTTCCTAATGGAGAACGCAACGCCATGACGCACGCGCAACGGATCGTTTTTAATGACGATCCATTCAGATTGAATGGAATGACGGCACGCGTCATCTAACGTCCACAGGAAGCAGAGTTGGATTCGTCGGCCGACGGTTGTACGATGGCGTTAGTGACCTACTTAAGAAAAGACAATTAAGGATCGGCAGAAGGCTGGTTGTAATATTTAGCAACGTTCGCACATTGCACATATAGGTACTCATTGATTGTCTGGGGTTCGAAAAATACTGGTCTGGAAAACTCTAAAAAGAAAAAAAAAATACATCACCCGATTGTCATCACTAAACTAATCGCGACGTTAAGCATACTAGGGGGTAAGCGAGCGCACCATCTACCTTGATCTACTTCGAGACTGCTCTAGGCGTTTGTGTCCATCTTCATAAACATATTTTTCATATGGGCTGAACTTCAAGTAGTGATTTCTCCAGGGTTTTTATACTGCTTTTTTTAAAAATTCGTTTATTGTTTTAGATTCTACTGCACTCTGGGGGAGACTATTCTAATCTTTAAATGTTGCGTAAGCAGAAAACCTCTTTCTCTGTTTTGTTCTTGTGAAAAATGTTTTGGGGTCTATTCTATCTATACCTTTTATCATTCTAAACAATTGTATTAATGATGGTCTTTTTTACGATATGCTAATACTTATGTAAGTCCAATCTATGTATGTTGTCATAGGGAAAATATTGCAATTTGGGAATCCACCTTACTGCTCTCTGTTGCACCTTCTCTAATGCTACTTCAACTTTCGTAATTGAGGTAATGCCGCCGTATTACAATACTGTAATGCTGGTCTGACTAATGTTTTATAAAGTAGCATTACCGACTCAGAATCTAGATTACCCAAGACGTCCATGGACCTTCTTTGCAGCTTGAATTACTTGTTTATAAAATGTTAAGGAATTATCTATGTCAATACCTAAGTCTTTGATTTCTGTGACTGATTCCAATTCCACCTTTCCGAGACCTTGTCCCATAAAGTATTTTGTTCCAAGTGATTTGCTGCAAAACTGTACATTTTCTCAAATTAAATGGTAATTGCCATTTAACTGACCACTAACACTGGCACATCTCGTCAATATTTCTTTGAAAAGACGTCGCATCATTTGGGTTATTAACCACATCATACAGCTTAAAATCATCCGCAGATATTCCAATAAATGATCTAACTACATCTGAGAGATCGTTTATAATACAATTTATGTATATATTTTATGTATATATTAATTAGCAGTATAGAAGATTGAATACAAGAATAAAACAAAAATATGTATATTTTCTTTTGATTTTTTATTTCTCGTGGGAAACCGTAAACCTAAACTGATGCTGGTCTTCCGGACTCACTGGATATGACACTGCTCTTGCCATTGCAAATAACTAACTGACAAGAATAATAATAATAATAATAATAATAATAATAATAATAATAATGATAATGATAATGATAATGATAATGATAATGATGATGATGATGATGATGATAATGATAATGATAATAATGATAATGATAATGATAATGATAATGATAATGATAATGATGATGATGATGATGATAATGATAATGATAATAATAATAATAATAATGATAATAATAATAATG